CACGCTGATCCGCCGTCTGCTGCGTCTCCGAGAACAACGCGGACGTGCACCGGTACCCGGCGACACGGACCCGGGAGGCGAGACCGGGCGCAGTCCCGGCCGCCAGGGAGGCATCTCTGGTCGGAACGGTAGCTCGGGTCAAGGCGATAGTTCGGGTCAAGGCGATAGTTCTCGTCAAGGCGGTAGTTCTCGTCAAGGCGGTAGTTCTGGTCCCCGGGAGGAAGGGGAGGCAGCTGGCGAGGAGGAAGAGGAAGCGGACCAGCATATGGACGGAGAGGAGGAGGCGGAGGGCGGGGAGAGGAAGCACCGACATGCACCAGAAACGATGGAGAGGAAGCGGCGGCGCGTGGATGAAGAGGTCGCGAATGGCGCCTTTCCGGAGCTGCCGGGTTGGCTCGCAGAGATGCCACTTTGGGCACTATGGAAGGCGCCTCTGCGTAGAGACAATGCGCCCGCATTATATACGGTTCCCAGCTCATTGGACTTCAGGAAGGAGCCACACTGCCTGGAACCCGTCCCCCTCCTCCCGCAGGAATGGGAACTCATAAACAGCGTACTCGACTTCTTAGCGTAACCACTGAACACCGGTGGGGAACAGTCACTGGGGGGAACTGACATTCACACTGCTTTTGCAGATCTCGAGGAGTGACCGCGATGTACTGTTCGAAGACTCGCGAAGTGTTGCCTTTGACCACACGGGGGTCTTTCCAAGTCCAGGCGTTCGGCGGTTCGTCGTCCGCCGTGGACCCGGGGATCACGATCCCGGAGCCCGGTCTGGACGAGCGACGGAATGGGCTTGACCGAATGAAGTCGATAATCGAAGGCGACCTGTGGGGCTACCGGGCGGGGAACGGAGCGGAAGCGAGCAGCGCAGAGAGCAGTGGAGCAGAGAGGAATGAGCGGAACGGAGCTGAGCGGAATGGAGCGTCGGATGACTTGTCGAGTATGATTTTATGAGTTGCAGCAGATAGTTAGTTAGGTAGTGAAAAAAAGGTTATTGCATGGCTTGTATCTGAGACACGAGTTTATCTAAGGCGTTCTTATTGGCCTGAATGATCTCGTCGCTTCGTTTTAATTCTTCTTGTATATAGCTCAGTCTTTTCGTTACATTCTCCACAGACTCTTTGGTGTTCTGCTTCATGAGAACATTTCCAACCAACTTGAACACCTGAGCATCATCCTCCAGGTCTTGGAGTTCCTCCAATACGATTTTATTCTCGCTCTCCTGCGCGCCCAACTGGGCTTGACTGCTGGCCGCCGTCTGAATGCCTGCACACACGTGTTTTCAACTCACCCGCTAGGGTCGCCTTTCCGGCGGGTGGTGTGAGCCATCAGTCCCTCAGCGACGGAGCCATCCCTGGACAGGTTACATGCCCTGGCGCACACAGACCCAGTGTTCCTTACGCTCCTGGAGTTCGCGGTACTCGTCCGTTAGGCGTTTCAGAGCCTCTGTATCTGCTTGCTTGCTGGCCATGAAATAAAAAGTGGACGAGTCGGATTATAACACAGTACCTTCTGGCGGACTACGCCGGAGATGAAGGACGGCGTGGACCACGTGGTGAATTGCGGTGACGTGGTAAAGTGGGATAGAAAAGGATGAGGGAAGTAAAAAGGATAACTGTCATCGTTTTCGGATCTTCAAAGGCCGCATGGACCCTTCTACGGTGTAGGTCTCTTGGTCCGCAGATGCGAAACAGACAATACTAGAAAAGAGAAACAGTCCAATATGAGTGTTGTTGGCGGAAAGAAGTGTGGAAACAAGTGTGTGCACACACTCTTGGAATAATAATGTATGAACAGTAACTGTGCTGAGTAAGTGTGCTGGCATACTTGTAAACGACGAATTTGATTTTGCTGCCAAGTTTCATTGTTTGCGCCTTGCCGGTGACAGGGTTCTTGATTTCAATAATCTGAAAGAGCAAGTTGTTAGTATTGAAGTTGGTCGTACGTTCAGAGATTCGTCTTCTTCATTGATGATGGGTTTGCTTCCTTCCAGGAGCCTGTTAAGTGCTATATGTCCGTTGAAGCATCCGAATATGGAGCAGGAAAGTCCGTCGTGCCGGATTTCCGTCACCTGTGCTGTGAGATTGAGACCGGGTTGGGGACAGAAAACGAGTACCTCAACCACGAGTTGGAAGCAGACGATGCCGAGCTTCTCAGCGTCCGAGGTGAAGCCTTTAGGTTCCACTAAGCGGGCTTTCCGACAAGCGATCCATACACCACCCAGTTCGGGCACAAAGGACATGTTGAAGTTCCGGAGGAATGTTTTTATACCAACATCTACGTACTGCAGGTGCAGGGGCATTACTTGTGCCAACCCGCGACAGTGGTAACGCTTGAATAACCGTTGGCCTCCGCTGCTCAACACGTCATTCAATTTCGAATCATTGACACACTTATATATCGAACGCTCCAATTTCTGTCCCACTTCCCCCCCTTCACTCTTTATAAGGAATTGACGAGCCTCCTGCAAAGTAAGCTCCGTCTCTCGTAATACCTCCCACGGCCTTTGAGCCATTATTTTTTTTCCACCCAGAGCATCATCACCTATGTCTAGAGCATCATCACCTATGTCTAGAGCATCATGCCTTCGCGCTAACACACATTTAATGTACCCATTCAGTACGAATATGTTTACATTCCAACCCCAACAGTTATTGTTAATATGGACAAAACTATCGCAACAAAACACCAGACTCGGAGTACGCTAGGCGTAACGTGCTAGCAACATCTAATTTAGTAGTCCTCCGTTTTCATATCTTTCAGGCCTAGATCATCGTTCTGTTCATCAGTCCTCTCGTACAGTTGGAACGACAGTTGTGAGTCCTTTAAAAGATTTAGTGGAGTCATTTTGGAGGTACTTGCCTGTTCCGTTTGTTTGTCAGTGGGATGAGCTTGGTGGGTGAGGAAGAGTAGGTCGTCTCCTCTGCGTCCGATGTGGCTGAGATCGGCAACGTCATCTAGGATCATGACCATGGGTAGGTTTTTGGCTTCGGCTGCTTCCCGGAGGCGGTTGATAAGATGTTCGATTTTGGTCTTGCGTTGCGAAAGTTGTGCATCTCCGTGGAACATCTTTTCGTTAATTTCATCTGCGATTTTAATAAGCAGACCTTCCACTGTGGTAAAGACGCCACCGAGAGTACCGTAGTCAAGTTCTAATTCTAGTTCTGGGAAACGGAGGGCAGCCGTGTCAGATTTGAGAACATCTCGGTTAAGATCTTGCTCCGACTCTATGACGAGTGTCCAGATTTTGCCCTTGTCTCCGTAACGTCCGGTGGGCTTGACTTCGGTGGATCGAGTCCCGCAAAAGTCACACACGAAGGCCATCACTAAACATGAGCGGAACCCAGGTACATCTATTTGACACATATTCTGGTTCCCATCCTTGCCGCAATGGGAGCACGGAAAGATGAACGTGACGTTCTTCAAGTCGTCTACATCGTTCAACGGACGACTCAAATCCCAAGACGCCACATCTCGGGATTGAAGAGCTTCTGGCAAGTCCGCACCCTTTAACTCCGCATCCTTTAACTCCGCATCCTTTAACTCCGCATCCTTTAACTCCGCACCCTTTAACTCCGCATCCTTTAACTCCGCACCCTTTAACTCTTCTTCACCTTGCTCTTCATAGTAACCCATCTGGTGAAGCTGTTCTTGCGTCCGCCTGTACCGCTCAATGCGTAGTTGCGCATCTTTCTTAGGGGCCAGAGGATTCTCAACGAAGGAATTCCCCGATGGGTCGTCTATGATGATCGTAAAGGGATTATTTAACACACCTGCCTCCGCTTCTTGCATGCGACTTTCTAGACGGGTCACAAACGCCAGCAGTTGCTCCTTCAGCTCGGGCAAGTCTTCCGCAGTACTACGGAGTTCCTCCGCCGTCTGACTCAACAGACCTTGCAACGTCGAACTGACGCCATTCGCAGGCGGCGCCTCAAGCTGCAGCTCCGGGATCATGATACGGGCAAACTGGCTCTTCACTACCTGCCTATCCAAGTCATCTATCGTTATAACATCCAAACTTATCCTCTCACCCGCAACCTGGATCTCACTTATAGGCTCAACCTTATTATTCTGGTAACCACACTTATCACAGTGAAATGACGATATCAAAATAGCTACAAAACAAATAGGGGCCTTCACCCTTCCCGTGATCTACACTGCTACTCAATGTGACTCTCTCCCTCGACGCGTAGTACGGCCCAAAGACACAAGAAATACAAATTGACTCGACGCACAAGGTGTAGACATACTTCTAAAATAAGGGATGTGGTGAGGCAGCAGCTTCGTCACACCATTTTCTTGGCATTGAATACATAACGACTCAACAGTCGTAAGGTTATTCAAAGGGTCATCACTTGACTGCTCCATGGGGCTATTAATATTATTCCGGCCACTCGGACCTCCGGCCGCTTGGACTCCGGCCGCTTGGACTCCGGCCACTCGGGCTTCGGCCACTCGGACTCCGGCCACTCGGACTCCGGCCAACCGAACTCCCACTTTCTGATGGCTCGGGCGCGTAAGTACGTGTCACTGAAACCCTCCGAGTGCGCAGAAAAAACGATTGCACGCAGTCCACGCGGTGTGGGTCGTAGTCATGGGACTAGCGGTGGGTCGTGGGACTAGCAGTGGGTCGTGGGGGGGGAATAAAATAGTAATAATTCATGGAGCGGCGTGGGAATGAAGAGGGCGATTTTCCGATAGCATGTGAGACATGTCTGGGGGATAGTTCTACATTGCGCATCATCAAGGGCGAGGCAGATAAAGAGTGCAAGGTATGTCAGCGGCCTTGTACATCATTCCGGTGGCAGCCGGGGCCGCGTGCGCGATATAAGTCGAGTGTGATTTGTCAGATGTGTGCGCGAATGCAGAACATTTGCCAAGTATGTTTGTTCGATTTGCAGTACGGGTTACCGGTACAAGTGAGGGACCAGATCCTAAGTGAGTCGCGTCGTGAACAGAACCCTGTGCGAGCACTCGCACACATGAGTGCTGTGAACCGTGACTTTGCAACACAACGCATCGAGGCCGAGGCCGCCGGGCTCGGTGGCGCGGCCGCCGGTGACACTGCCGTACCCGCCATCGAAAACGCCGGCTTCGATCGCGATGCGGCAGAGAATGCTGTGCTACGGCAAGTCGCCCGCATGGCTCCTTATTACAAACGTAATGAGGCCCGTGTCTGTACCTTCTGGCTCAAAGGCGCATGCAATCGCGGTGATCGATGTCCCTTTAAACATGAACAAGATTCGCGGAGTCGGAACGCTGGCAGTGTCCTCCGTATTCGTGAACGCTACTTTGGCGTCAATGACGAGTTCGCCCAAAATATGCTTGCCTCAATCGAGTCCCGCAAACAAGACAGGGAAACGGGAGCTGGGGATCGAACCGGGGATCGAGACCAGCAGCGCCGGTCCGCGGCTCGTCAGGACCTACGGCATGCCATAAGCCGCTCCAGACCCGGCCTATCTGCGACCCAGAGGATAGAACGCCCCGCCAGTGGCCCCCCCACGAACAACATCATCATCCCACCGCCGCCAACTCCCGACGAACGACCACCTCCGATGCCGCCGTCTTCAACCCGGCCATCATCCAAACAACCCGGCCGCGGTTAGACTAGGACGGGGCAAGGCCAGGTGACAGTGCCCTGCCAACGTGCCGAGGCATGCACACGCAGTACCCCACGCGTCTGTGTGAACTGGCACATTTACACGCGTACGCGGAAATGGAGCACGAGGATGACTACGAGACTCCTCGCGACTTTGAGAGTCGCGACGACGACTACAGGACTCCTGGCGACCCTGGCGAATGTGAGGACCGGGGTGGTGAACACGCAGGTGGTGATCACACGGGTGCAGGTGGTGAACACACGGGTGCAGGTGGTGAACACACGGGTGCAGGTGGTGAACACATAGTGGGTGGTGAACACACGGGTGGTGAACACATAGTGGGTGGACATGCCGTGCCGACAATAATTCGGACGCGGCCACCGGACCGAACGTTGGCTGCCCCGAAGGACGCGGCGGCGATTGCGAAGATCCTGGCGGATCGGTACGTGCCGGCGCCGACGTTTTCGCATTCGCCGGCGACGGCTGAGTCGCCGAGCATGTTCCCTGTGACGCGCGAACGTTTCGGACGGGACGCGGAAGTGCGTCCCTTCGATGAAAAGGAGCTCGATGTGACATACGCGCACTCACCGCGGCCGGTGGATGTACGCATTCCCACGCCCGCTGTCCCAGGAAACATCACCCCTATCCCCACTCCCGAAGCACTTGCCGAACACGACCGACCACTCACGGAAGAAGAAGCTGAACAACTCTCGATCTGGATCTTTAGAAGTGGCTATTCGAAACCGGGAAACACACACGGAGATAATCATCACCTCAAACAGCTCTGCTAATCATCACCATTCTCTATCGGCCACAACTAAGCTAGTCGCAACTGGGTTCCACACCAACTTGGGTGAATTCCCACCAGCTTCAAGAATTTGAGAATTTGCTTTGCCACTGCCGACGACGAATTCCACTACGAATGTCACTCAACGGCGAAGAGTGTTTGTTATATACCGCTAACACATGTGTAGCCACCCACATGTGTAGGTCGCGCATTTGGCCGAGTTGTAGTTGCATGCTCAGTTCGCTGGATAGGCGTGGCTAGGCGTAGTCGTCGTCGTCGTCGTCTTCATCTTGTGCGCCGTTATCTGCCAAAAGTTGATCAATCGCTTGGTTGAGATTTCCGTGGACCTCATGCAGAATCCTGAGGTTGCGTTTGCGATTTACAAAGCCTAGCTCACTGAGGTGTCTCAGCTGATAGGAATAAGAAGTCTCCAAACTAAAAAATAAGAGTCACTACAGACGCCGAGGATCAGGCGCAGGTGCCTGCTTGGTCCCGTAATGTTCAATCACCTTCACCACCGCCTTCTCGACCACGGGCAGCACCTTGTCGATCATGTTACTACCGAGGGTATGGTAGGGTGGGTATGGTAGGGTGCGAATGATCCACACCCCATCAACTATACAAATGATCCACACCCCATCAAGTGTGCGACCGAATGTGTGCTTACTTTTGTGGTGAGGGAGTGACCTGTTGTTCTGTGGCGCGTGCAACAGGTGCAAGTAGTTTGGCTGCTCTGTTAAGATGCATGAGAAGTTCTTTGGTGATTTTTTGTCCGACTGTATATACTAGAGTACCGTCTGGGGCTCGTTCTTGATTGAAGCCGAGAGCTACTAGAGCGTCTGCACCTGTTTTAGATGCGAGTAGAGAGGCTCGGAGTTTGGCATTGTCTGCTTTGACGGTGCGGAATTTTGGGTCTGTGGCATTGTTGACTAAATTTTGTGCGAGTAGATGAAGACGTCGAAGGCTTTCTTTTTTCACGTCCATATTAACGCTTTCGTCTTCCCATAATTGTTTGACAGAATGTTCGAATGCGTCAGGTTCATTCGACCATTGCGGGATGGGAGCTTCCTGTGCGACAGGACGGCCGGTAGCGAGGAAGCCGGCGAGTCCTCCTTGAGCTTGTGACTGTCTGGCCTGGCGTTGAAAAGCGTCGACCATGTTAACAAGCATCTTGCCGCCCGGATTACGGGAGATGACTTCATGCTGATTTAACACCTCATGGGGGATACCTTGACCGAGAAGAAAACGTGCGACAGCGTCGCTGAAATGATTGCAGTTATGTGCCAGGAAGTCATACTGCGTCTCACTAAACTCATCCGCGTGCTCATTACACCACGCATGTAATGACTCCACCGTAACCGACGAACGCCCTAACTTCAACACCTTCAAAGGCGTCATACCATACTCACGCTCCACCACTGCCGGGGGAGCACGCTGGATACCACCTCCATAAAACCACTCAATTCCGCCGAATAGAATAGACGTGTGCCACACACCTTCTAACTCCAGACCCAATAGTGGACCCGCTATCATCGATGCCACACCCTTTGATAAATCGTAGCACTTCAACTCTACCTCCATCAACCAAAAAAAAAGAAGACCATGACCAACAGGCCGCCCGCCTACTCTCCTACCGTAGGAGCCGACACGCACTCATGAATACCGCCTGCCTGCCTGTACCTCAAACCGCCTGTACCTCAAACCGCCCGTGTAAACTAACTCAAGGTACAACCTCAATTACGTTCCAACCACACCCAGGAACTACGCGACTACTTGCTGCGGACTAGCGCCCATCGGATTAGCGCCCGTCGGATTAGCGCCCGTCGGATTAGCGCCCGTCGGATTAGCTCTTGTTCATTTACTAACTAATGTTTGACTTTGTAGGGAGGAGGAGGAGCAAGCGCCACCGGCATGGGATTTGATGATATGGGACCAGGCGGCATGGGGACTAATGTCATCGCCATCGGACCAGACGGGACAGACGTAATCGGGATTGGACATCGGCAGACTTCGGCTGCGTCATCTACGGCGTCGGAAGGCATTCGATATATTCTGCCCGACTCGTGCACGGCCCAGTTGGTCAAGTTGGGTTGCGCTTTGGCCTGGACTGGTTTGGGTCTGACACTAACGACAGCTGGTACTAGTATTTGTCGCTGGTTAAGTGGTCATGCCGCGCAAGGACTGTTCGGTATCCTGGGCGCTGTCCTGCTGGGCTCCAGCATCATCCTTGTGGCACTCTTCACGACTCGGCCTTCTGCATTTTGGCGCAGCAAAAAGATACGACTCTTCCACAAACTTATCGCCATACCACTCATCACTCCTTCAGTAAGCCCGTGGGACCGGGAGTGACTTCACCTGGTGGAGGAGACCTTCTATTTTACAGGTTCTGTATATCGTTCAATTTGCCGTCATTCTTGCCAAAATAGACGAAGACAACAGCATCTGGTGGGACCACTGGGCGGCAGCTAAAGGCCACGACTACAAACTGGTAACCATCCCTTTCCGAATCTAGAGAGCGGCTGTTCGAATCCAACCATCTGCAGGCTATATGTTTGAGTGGACTAATCTTGGCCGTTTTCTGCTTTATATTCTCAGTCAGCTACATAACAGTGTTCCAGTAAGTACATGCACCCCACTCCACTCCATACCAGGGCATGGGTGTCCTGTGTGTGCACTCGCACACGCTCTTTCGGGCTCGTCCCGGTTCATCGGACCCGTTCAATGTGGGCTTGCCGTAGCTTTATCTGTCGTGTGCACCGTATCGAAGGCATGGAGCTGCGTGTGCAGATCCCGAACCCGTTGGATGGTTACGCTCCCGGCTTCGACTACCACCGCGTCGCATCGCAAATTGTGGCGTCTGTGGAGGCTGCTGGTTCGCGGGGGGGGTCGAGCAGCGTGCATGGGCCAAGTGTGCATGAGGCTCCCGCTAATACTGCCTTTGATGTCGCGGTGGTTCCGCCACGACCGACTGACCACTAAGTGGGTTCTACGTTTCAGCACGTGGTCCTGAGATCCAGGTGGAGTTCTTGGGGATAAAGTGAGTGGAAGGGTGGAACGGAATGACAGGGTGAGTGGAGCGGTGGGGTGAGTAGGTAGTAGTTTATAAAAATATGAACGAATTGTACCAAGGGATGGTGGTTTACGGCTACTTTACGATGGAAGGAATAGCGGAAGGTGTTTGGTATTCCAAAACCCAATCCCAGAGAATCGCCACAGTGCGGAATTTCCTGTATGTTCAAGCAGGCATCTCTGCTGCCGGGTTGATGGGCATTGTAGTCAAGTGCAGATCTCTGATACAAGTAGGGTATCTAGCCCTACTCATCTCACTGCTATTTTCGGTCGCCTGGCTTGTGTTCGGGTGGAGTCTAATCCCAGACCAGACAGTCGCCCTTGGTATCACCATGCCCATAAAGCTCGCCGAGGTCTTTAGCATTTATTTCCTAGGTAAGACCCACGCGCACTTGCCGCACTCTTCCATAGGGCTTATAATAGGACGGGCGGAAGAATCGCTACGTAAAGAAGAAGCTCGGCTTCTCCGGCAGGCCTTGGCGGAGCACGAGGACCACAAGAACGACGATTTCATCCATGACATCAACCCCATCTGAAAATCGCACAACCAACACCAATTTTTTCCACCATCATTTTTTGGATGGTGCAAACTCCTGTATGATCTCAAGAATAGTTACCTCTGTCTCTAATGCTCTCGACTTCAATATTGCAACGCTGTCAGGATGCATTGACATTATAGTTGTTCCCGACGAAAATGGATCATTACGAGTAACGCATACAACCCCCTATAACGTTCGTCCCTTGCGACGTCCTTCTAGTCAGTCCCGGTGCTTAATATGTGATGGTCCCGCGTTTCCGACCTTGAAATTCCCCCGCGCGCGTTTTCGAACACGCGTGTGCGCGCTCAAAATCGCTCTCAAAATAACGTCCAATTTTGTAGTCTACTCCGTTCCATGTGCGCTTCGGCAAGGCTAAGCTTCTGCGCTCACGCGAGAAGATCGTCAGTGTTGCGGTGAACGGTCAGGCGACGGATCTACAAATGATTTTGGGGTCTGCTGGCGAGGCCTACTTTATGTTGAAGGATGAGGGTCAGCTGGATATCGAGGCTCCTCCACCAGACCACGAGAACAGTGAGTACAACATGTATCAGGAGGTGCTGGTGCCTGAGGGCGAGGAGATTTACGGAGATGAGGATCTGGAGAGCGTGGAGGAGACCATGGATCCAGCAGCGGGTGACGTTATGGTCCGGCGAGCATCGGACCCCATTTTAGTCAAGCACAATGAGCGGACTGCATTGGAACAAGCTTCGCTCCCCGCGCCGAGTATCAATATCCAGGAATCCGGACACAAGGAATCCGGAGAGCCAGTGGGAGTAGAGAAAGAGTCCGGGGAACCGTTATCTGTGGAGACGGGGACTACGGGGAGTACTGCGGATCAGGCGGTGCCGCAGGTCGTGGGGCATTTCCAGAGTTCGATTCAGTTGAGTCTTTGCGGTCATTTATTGTTGGGGATGGCGGAGGAGGAGCAGCACGACCAAGACGTGTTCCAGGCGAACCTGTTGGACGCTAAGGCGTTTGAGCGCGACGCGACGCTGTGGTACAACCCATCGTTAGTGTTTCGTTTCGGGAACAAGCCGCCGTACTTCCCGGCAAGAACATCGTTGCCACTGATTGCATCTTGGGCGATTTTCGGCAAGTCGTTGACGAAGGAGTCGTTTTTGACTTTGCTTCGCTCACGTTTGCGGCTGCGCGACCCGCAGGACTTGCTCGACCAACTGACTATAAACGTAAACGAGATCCTCCACCCCGCGGCTTTACCGGATCCAAGTCCAGGTTCCCGGTCGCGGCGACCGAATAGCCGAGACAATCAGGGCGCGGAGGAGCAGCGCTACTTGCAGCACTTGTGTTACTTGTCACGGATGTTCGACTGCTGTATGGCACCCTCACTCGACGACCAAACTGGCGAGGAAGAGGAGACGCTCTTGGTCCAAAACGGCCATCAATCGGATCCGGAAGCATACGGCGCTACGACGCGGGTCGCGACGGCAAGGGCCGCGACTGGGCTGTCGACCTCGTCGAAGTTTTTGGGCAAGCGAAAGATGCAACGATACATCAAGTGTCTGAAGCCGACGCCTGCACAGTTGGCCCAGTTGCGGTTGCAGCCGGGTGCGAATCGGATAACGTTCTCGGTGACGTCTGCATTGCAGGGCTTCAAGTCGGTTTCGGCCAACCTATATTTGTGGCCGCGCAGTTCGCGTATCGTTGTCAGTGACGTGGATGGGACTATTACCAAGTCCGACCTGTGGGGACAGCTCATGCCCATCGTGGGTAAGGACTGGAGCCACCCGGGAGTCGCCGAGCTCTTTACGAACATTACTAAACACAATTACCGTATTGTGTACCTCACAGCACGTGCTATCGGTCAGGCAGACAGCACACGAGATTATCTTTTCGGCCTCACTCAGAACGAAAAGAAGCTGCCCGATGGACCTCTTATTCTCTCCCCCGATCGCCTCTTCCCTTCCTTCAAACGCGAGGTCATCGACCGGAAACCCTTCGTCTTCAAGATCGCCGCCCTTCGCGACCTCCGCTCCCTATTCCCCCACTATTACAACCCTTACTATGCCGGCTTCGGCAACCGTGACACGGACCATCGTGCCTACGTGCACGTCGGAGTTCCTGAGGCACGCATATTCATCATAGACCCCACCGGCCACGTACACCACGTCAACCGAACCTTCGCCAAAACGTAAGCGGTGTGTGTGTTTCTCCGCTGTGTGTTTCCTCTACCCGTGTTTCCTCTTAGGTACAAGTCCATGTCCACGATGGCTAACGATATGTTCCCGCCGCTCAAACAGAAGGCGGTGGCGGTGCATGCGGATGACGAGGTAAGCATTTTTGGTGGCGGGCAACAGCCTCACCTTTTGGAGGGCGAGAGGACTGACCCGTACAGTTTGCCTCTGGAGCGGACACGCAACCCCCTGGTGCCTAGCCCCGGAGTTCCGACTCCTTCTGCGCCGGAAACCGGTCTTAGCGCACAGCCCTGCCCGCGGCTGAAGTACGCAGCACGTGCATCCAGTCGTTTTGGTGCCTAAAATTTTCTTGCAGTACAACGATGTGAACTACTGGGGACAGAAGCCCGATCTCAGTCTCTGTCCGGCGGCCGAGGTTGTGGTGGCGTCGGCTGGGCCTGCGACAAGTTCAAAGACGAACACCCCGCTCCTGGCCAAGGTCCCGCACGCCCCGGACGCGACCTTGTCGCCCACACCGGAAAGCAAGTACCGGAGCCTAAACGTAAGCCCGCTCTCGCACACATGTGTGTCTCTCTGCACACGTGGGTTTCCCCGCACACGAGTGTGCGCACGTGACCACCCCCTTTGGACACACGCCCGTGCTCTCTGGACACGTGCCTGTCCCCAGTTGCGTACAAGGGGTCTGCCTGTTCAGTGCGACGTCTTCCGAGATAATACGCCGCACGCGAACTCGTTGTCGCCGGCGATGCCGTGCATTTCGATCGAGTTGGCGCCACTGGCACCAGAGCCAATGCGGCATTCGCAGTCGACGCCATGTTTGATATCATTGACGACGCTGGAGTTTGACGACGCAGTTTCTCGGCCTCAGTCGCATGACGCGAGTCGGCGACACTCGACTGCTGGCGAGGGGCTCGGGTTTGGTCGGAGTTGCGAAAGTGAGAGCGAGAGCGAGGAAAGTGGGGACAGCGAGAACGAGTGCCTGTTGATCCCGCGAAAGGACGTGCGTTACATCTTCCGGAAGGAGGAGGAGAGTAGTGTTGCGGAGGACTTTGGACGTGCGCGCAGTGAAGTACCCTGGGAGGGGCGCGGGGAGTCATGGACGATGCGTGGAAAACGAAGCAGGGTGACTTAGCAAGCAGTGCGGGGGGTGGGCGACATTGGATACGAACATTCGGACAATGACCACTGGCAACGGGAGCATGGTTGGGAGTTGTGGTCGAGAGTTGCGGTCGAGAGTTGCGGTGGTGAGCTTTTCTGACTGAAACAAGTAGGTAGTTATAGCGAGGAAAAAAGTGACGGAAGGGGGGGGAGGGGGGGGTTGGCTAGACGAGGGCGGCACAGTTACCGAGGGCCGTTTGGTCGTCGTCTTCTATAAGGTAATTGTAGCCTTCGTGTCTCGCTTGTTGGAATGTGCGTGCATGGACTCGAGATCGCAACCGTTCAAGTCGTTTTTGTCTGGCAGTTTGTCTTTCAGACAAAAACCAGTGTGGCGGTAGTTCTCCATACTGTTCGAGAAGGTCGAGTTTCAGTCGGCGCAGATTCTTCAACTTTTGTTTGCGAGCGAGTCTTCTGCGCGTCAGCGGCAGACGCGTGGTGAATATGTGACCGATGACGGTCTCGGAGTGTACAACGGCGCCTGTCCGCTCTCCAGGGAACATGTCCGGATTTTCGTCCACGTCTGTGCGATCGATGTTTGTGCGATCTGGAACCTTGGTTGTGGGCGGAGTCGAGGATACAATTTCGGTCGTGACGTTATCCTCCCAGAGAGCTTCGTCGAAGGGGATGAGTTCGTGGGACGTAACGAAGGTCTTTGTTGGGACCGTAACGATTTTGCCGTTCGGGAGTTCGAGTTGCCGTTTGCGTTCTTCCAGACGGCATCTTGAGCGTACGACAAAACATCCGGCTTTGGCTTTGCAGAGTTGCGCGTTATCGAAGTCATCGAGATCGGTATCCCAAAGCAAATGTGGTACGACTTCGCGACCTTCGTCATCAATTTCGAGCCCGTCCGGCAAAAAGCAACAATACTTGCTAAACTGTGTGCGCGGCACAGCACACACTTCTGTATCCAAGTGCACTATGTACTCACTCTCCAACGAGGCGGCAGTCGGACGCTCCTCCCGCCTCACTCTCTTATGCCGCAATTCCGTCTCATCATTCCGAATGTCATTCCGAATGTCATTCCGAACATTGTCCCGACGACCCAGCCCTGTTCCGAGCGACCCGTCTCCGACCAAACCGCTCGTCGCGCACGTGCTGCCGCGATCCATGTCGAAGAAACGGGAACGGCGAGCCGTCGAGGTCTGACGCATATCCGACCGTCGTGACGGAGGACCACGCCGCCCGCTAGTCTGGTCCATCACTCGCTGGTACATCACTTGCTGGTCTCCCGTCTTCTTCTGGTCACAGACCCAGCCTCTTTGATTCCCGGTTTCATTCCCGGCTTGGTTACCGGTCTTTAAGTTCATTAAGGGCTTTCGGTGCAAGACTGCGGCGGATTCCTCAACGTCCGAGCTGCTACCGGCAGACAGCAAGCCGCCTGCGTCCGTCTGCAGCGCCACGTTGTAACCATCCTCAACATCGGCCTGACCGGCCACGACCACTTCTCCGTCTTCTAGTTCCGGTGGGCGGTGTTTCCCAGTTAGGTCTGCGGAGTCCTCGTCGAGGCTTATATATTCCCGGCCAGCATCAGTGCTAACACCCCGACCGCCCGGACCACTAGGCACAGAAGCGTGACCGCTTGATGAGCGCTGGCCTGCTGAGTGATCCAAAGAATCGGACTGTATCAATCGCACAGCAGCTGCTGGTCCACTGGGTCCAGTGTCTATGATGAAATCGGATTCGTTAAAGTCGTCACCGTCGTCTTTATTGACTCCGTCCAGGTCCTCACCCTCTTCGAAGAGCTGACTGTCATCATCTTCGTCGGAAAGGAAACGCTTAGTCTGTTTCAGGACGCGTTTGCGGTCTTTGATGAACTCCTCGACATCGTCGTCCTCGTCGTCGCCGTCGTTCACCGAGCTCGCATAAGCTCCCTTGTCTATGGCACCGTCTCCATCTCTGTCATCTTCCCCCTCGTCGTCCTCTCCGTCGTCGTCCTCTCCGTCGTCGTCCTCTCCGTCGTCGTCCTCTCCGTCGTCGTCCTCTCCGTCGTCGTCGTCATCGCAAATGAAACCTCCGAGAGTGGGATCTTCACCGATTTCGTCCTCGCTGGCCTCTTCATCGGAAGACGCGGGCATCAATCGGTCAACCGTCTCGTCTACTTCCGCCTCGTCGTCGAAAAACATGGCGGACAGCAGCAAATTTGTAAAGGGCGTGCGGGGAAGATTTTAATTGAGTATGGTGGGCCGGAAGGGGCCGAAGCCGGGGCGGAAGAAGGTCCATGCGACGAGCGACTTGCGTGGGAAGACGATGAAGAAGCTCAAGAAGCGACGGCCAGAAAATGCGGTGGACTTGGACAAAGCCGTGGGAGTGAAGAAGCTCGAAATAGACAGTCGAGGTCAGCAAAAGGAGCGCTTGCAACAACGGCTAGGCGTCGCCGAAAGCATGCAAGCGTGCGTGTCCGAAGCAATACTCATGATTCGGGACGGGCTGGTCCAAAAGCGAGTGGAGGGACTCACGCGCGTTTGCGAAATGATACATCTGACTCCGGAAGTGCTCTTGGGCGCGTCACAGAGACTCCTCAAAGAACTGGGGCCCCGGTTGGTGGACGACGAGCAGACCATTCGGCGATATGCTATACAGATTGTTGTTGACTGCATCGACCGAGCGAACGAAGGTGCAGGTTTAATATCGCGACAGTCGTCGCTGGAGTTGCCCAAGAACGCTGTTAACGAGACCCAGAAAACGGTCAGCGGCACGGGTAGTGAGACAGGTACGGGAAAGGAGGTAGTGGCGCGAACGAACGTGGATGCTCGCAAGGACGAGTGGTACAGCTTGTTGAACAGTATGCGCCCCATCGTGGCTGGGCATTTGCGAACGATATTAACGGACTTGCAGAGGAACAAGTCGCGGGACGGGTTGGTATACACACTGAGTGTGTTGAGGGCGAGTGTACATCCAATCGTGGACGAAAGATTTGTGATAGAGGTACTGCCGTTATTATTACGGTATCAGAGTGTGTTGTTGGGTCCAGGCAAGGTGGTCAAAACAAGCGTGACAAGTTTCGATCGTGCGTTGCAGCCGCTGTTGAGTCACTGGAGTGCCGTTTACTTCGCGATGATCCTAAACATGTTTGTGGCCGTTGAGTCGGATAACGCAGGAGTGGTGGGCACAGGAGTGGTGGGCACAGGAGTGGTGGGTGCAGGACCGGTGGGCACAGGACCGGTGGGCGCAGGAGCGGTGGGCGCAGGAGCGGTGGGCACAGGAGTGGTGGGCACAGGAGTGGTGGGTGCAGGACCGGTGGGCACAGGAGTGGTGGGTGCAGGAGTGGTGGGTGCAGGACCGGTGGTTAGTTGGGGCGCGTTTGTAGCACGGTGTAGTGTGCCCAGTTTCGTGTTATCCGGTTCGGAGTTTGCACCGATCAAGAAGACGAGTAAAAAGGATGACTTTGTGGCTGCGAGTACGCCGGGGTCGGATTACCCGTTGGGCCGATTATGGCTGACGTTGGACGGGTTGGTGAAAGTGTTGGAGAACGCAAGTCTGCGGGCAGTCAACGCGTCTGTACTGGCCAAACTCATGTACCTTACCGTCACGCTCGCACGCTGGCTGGTCACCGTCTGTCACGTGGATGAACTGCGACGACAAGACGACCTGTTGCACTCCACTTGCGAAATAACACTGACCAACCTCTGGGCACAATTTGCCAAATTCATGCTTACAGGAGCGAAGGACAAAATTCATCGCACGACCGAAGTATTCTATGCACTCGGCGTCGTCTCCATAGCTAGGCGCCTATGCCAACTCGCCACACTACCCGGCATGCCATGGTACATACGCAGATCGGTACAAATGCTCGTCCGCAATCTCATCTGCGCCTTCGACGCCGCTAATCTCGCGAATGAGGACGGCGGTGGACTTCGCGAACCCGACAATGAACGCCACAATGCTATCGTGCACAAGGCACTGCTCGCCCTCGTCCAGCAGGTGTACGAAGACGCCATCAAACATCCGAAACGGCCCAAGCACACGCCGTCGGTAGAAATGGCGGGGCCGTGTCCGCCACAGGAAACGAGTGTTGCTGGCCCCGAGGTCGAGGTCGAGGTCGCAGTTGCAGCGACCAGGGAGACGAACAACTTTGGAATGCCTGCGGCGGTCGATAGCGCTGACGACAACTCTCTGAGGGGCGCGATCGCCGCTGCCTTCGCCGGGATGCCGCTGACGGCCGTGGCACAGACCGACACGAACGGGAGCGTGCCGCTGTCGGCTGCGGAGTTCATGGAGGCCTGGGAGACGCCTGCGGTCGAGACGAGACTCGATCCCGCGACTCGCGGGTTCCGAGCGGATTGCGAGTCGACGGGCTCGACCGCAAGCTCGCAAGGCCCCGCGCTACTGCCGCCAATGTTGGTTGGCGACACGGTGTGCACGCTCTACCGCTCACTCGGTGAAGGCGCCCTCCCGAAACGACACGCCGCGTGGTTGGCAGCGTATATATCTCAGGAGAGCTCCACTTGCTCAGATCTACTCCCGCGCCCGAGGAAAGTGGAGCTGGCAGCGGAGGCGGCGGCAGTCGAACAGGACGTATTTGAGGAAGACAGCCAACTTGCCAACTCATGGATGGCATCGCTGCTGCAGTAACACCGCTGCTTCGGAAGTGCTTGTGGGAGCTGCAGCACCAGCGACGACGCAATTAATTGTTCGCGCTTCGTGGGCGAGTCTTTTTCCGCGGGAGTGCAATTTTTGTTGGATGAGGGTGACGGTTTGTTGTCCTGCAAGGGCTTTGAATTTGGCCTTCAGTTGTCTTTTGGGTACGCATTTTTGGCGTGGTGTTTCAATTTCAATGACACTGATAGACTCTGGCTGGTGCGCGGGTGGTTGGTGCGCGGGGTGGAGGGTCATTTAAAATCTGCGGTGATGGTTTCGCGGCAGGAGTTGATGGTGGCGCGGCGGAAGTACGGTGAGGCAGTGAAGGAGGCGTTTTGGAAACTGCGGGTGGCGGAGCCTACCTTGCGGCAGGAGGAATATATACGGCGGTTGAAGTTGACGGTGAAGGTGCCCAAGTTCAGCATTCCGGCAACCGACTTGGACCATCTGTGTCGGCACGTGGTGGCACAGGTGCCGCCTGCAAGCGGGATGTTACTACCCAATCCTAACACGGTCGCTAAAGACTCAGCCGCTAAGGGCTCAGCCACTAAGGGCTCAACCGCCAGTGGGTCGGTCAGTGCGTCGGGTGTGTCTGCAGCCTGCGGCTCGACCCACGGCTCCGCGATCCCGGTGCAAGGTAGTGCGGCCAAAAGAACGCGTGTCCGGGACCCGGACGAGCGCGCCTTGTTAGCTGCCGCTGCCGCGGGAGGTTCCGTAGGGGGCGTGAAGACGGCGGAGATCGACTGGTCCTTCACACACCAGACGGAGTTGGAGAGTGCGATGACGCACCCGTTTGGATTGGAGTCTCTGTGCACGGCGTTACGGAAACATTTGGTCATGCTAGAGAGAGGCCGGCATGGATTGGGCGGAAGTGTGTTGCTAACGGGTCCCAAAGGCAGTGGGCGCTCGAGTCTGGTGCGTTACCTCGCGCAACGAACACGCCCGGACCGCGTGGTTGTGCTCGAGCTCCAGGGTGCACGACTGGCCGCCTGTAATAAACCGGAACAGGCACTCGCCCTCCTCGAGCAGTTTCTACTTGAGGCCGCTAGCTGCAGTACCGCAAGCGGAAGTCTAGACGAGAGTCCGGCCCCGACTGGGGCTTTAGAGTGGAATCTGGACCACCGGAGTCTGGACCACCGGAGTCTGGACCACCGGGGTCTGGACCACCGGAATCTGGACCACCGGAATCTGGACCACCGGAATCTGGGAGGGGAATCTGCGCATCGGGGGTTGCTGTTGTTAATAGATGACCTGGATCTACTGGTGCCGGCGGCGAGCGGGTCAAGTGCCGCGGGTTCGGGCAAGACGGCTAGGGATGCGCTGGAGCAGCGGAAGGTTGCACAGGTGAGTTGGCGACTACTGGAATTGTTCGGGACCATGCGGCGACATTATGGTGGTGCGGTTTGTGTGTTTGCTGCAGCCACGGCGAGGAGTGCGGTGGACGCGGACTTCCTAGCGCGAAGTCCGTTCAGTGTGCGACCGTACGGCATCCCACCGTTGGGTACGGTGGCGAGACGTAGTTTGCTCGAGATCTTCCTCGCACAACATGCCGCGGAATTTGGAGTGGAACTTGCAGCGCTTGACCTCGAACCGGCGACCAAGGCCACCGAAGGCTGGGTAGCCGGCCAGCTGCGTAGACTCGCCGACGCTGCCGTTACGGACGCTCTCGACTGCGCTCAGTTTCCCGACGTAGATATGGACGGAGAGTCGAGCGCAGTTGTACAGGACTTGACGCAAGATCTGGCACACGTGGCCGTGGACTCCATGCTGGTGGACGAAACGGCAGTGGATGAGACGGCAGTGGTTGAGCAATCGGCGGGACACAGCGGCAATACGCCAGACAAGAGTGGCGTGCAGAGTGACGCGGGGCCAAGGACGACGATCGGCAGTTCGAGCAGCAGCGACTCGGAGGACCTGGAGGGGCTGCGGATTGTGGACGCAGGGAACGATGTCGGCGGAGACGAAAGACCGGATGCTCGGTCGGGGGTTGAATCGAACGCGCGGTTAGAGGCTTTCGAGAGGATGCCCGACTCCAGTTTGTCGGTGCCAGGTTGGTCGGTGAGGCAGGAGAATTTGGAGAAGGCATTACAGGTGGCGTTGGCTGAGTTTACGCCGGAGGGTTTCATGGACGTGCCGGACGTGCGTATGGAGGACGTGGGCGGTTTGACTGAGGTGAAGGAGTATGTGATGGATCGGTTTGTGGAAGTGATGCGTAATCTGGAGGCATATCGTGCGGTGGGTTTGCAGGACTCATCGGGGTTGGTGATGTGGGGTCCGCCTGGTTGCGGGAAAACTCACTTGGCGAAGGCGATTGCAAACGCGTGTGGTGCCCGATTTATTTTGGTGAATGGTTCGGAGTTATTGGACAAGTATGTGGGAGCGAGTGAGCGTAAGGTGGTGGAGGTATTTGAGCGGGCACGCGACAACGCACCGTGTTTGATTTTCTTCGACGAGTTTGACGCGTTGTGTCCATCGCGGTCTCAACAGGGTTTGCATGAGGTCAGTCGGCGCGTGGTAAACGCGATGCTGACGGAGCTAGATGGTGTTAGAAAACGTGCCGGTGTCTTCGTTGTAGCCGCGACTAACGAACCTGGTTTAATAGATGCAGCTGTCCTACGTTCCGGACGCTTCGAACATCGCTTATTTGTACCTCTACCAGACGAAGCAAGTCGTAAAGATATCTTCCGAGTTCTCTGTCATAATAAACCTTGGTCTATTGAATCGGACACCCTCGAACACCTCGCAAAAGTCACAGAAAACTACTCAGGGGCTGATATCAAATTCCTACTCAACCAAGCCGCACAAACCTCATGGATTAATGCAGGCAAACCCACGCATATTCAAATATCGAAACACGCACTGCTTCAAGCACTAAGACCTCCCAGCATCGATCCAGATACACTGCAAAAATACGCAACCATAAACCAAATTGAGTAGCCCCAATTACTACTCAATTGAGCCCCAATTACTATCCAACCCAACTGGATGCAGTGATGTTGATGACGCTGAGGATGCAGCATCATCATGTTGCTGACGTGTCAATTTTCGCGTCAATTTCCGCGTCAATTTTTGAATTAATTCGGTTTGGTTGGATTCAACATCCCCGTTAGATTGAACATCCGCCTTGAGCACCATTGTCCGGTATTCTTCTTCGCGATGTACGAATCAGACACCAGCCGGACACGACGCGCGGTCTACTTAAAAGTCGGTACTAGTGCGTACTTACGGCTTTCTTGGGTGTTTGCTTCACAGGCAGTTACTACATTTAGATTGGAGGCGGCATGGCGCAGTTTACAGGGGTTGGCGCAGTTTACAGGGGTTGCATTGTAGGTTGATAGTAGTGGGCGTTAGTGTTTCTTCTTGTTATTGTGTGGAATGATTTGTAGCTATACTTGTTGGCTATGTTGGTCTACGGCTTGTACGATGTTGACTCTGCACATTGGGCATTGTTGGCTTCGTTGTAACCATTCTTGTACACAGGATGAGTGGAAGACATGTTTACGTGGGTCGCATGGTAGTTGTAAGACTTGGTCATCTGGTTCGAAGTCAGCGACGCAGATGGCACAGGCACCGGTAGCTGTAGGTTGTGCGGCTGTAGTGGAGTTAAGTCGGTTGAGTAGGTGTGTCATGGCACCGCCCATGACATCGGGTAATAAATTGTTGGCGAGTAGGTTATTGCCAGTGGGTGTTATGTCAAGTGCGCCTTCTTGTACTAAGTCGCCATAGCGTCTGGGTGAGAGTTTGGCCATGGTATCTGGTGGAACACCTTCACCAGTATCGGTAGCGTTACCCCAAAGACAGATACCACACATAAAACAAGGTACAAGTATAATGATCAACAAACATGGTAGAAAATAAACACATGCTTGCAAACTCCACCAGACACAAGACCAGATCCAGGAAGGCTTACTATACAAATCTGAGCATCCGTCATCATTTACAAACACGACAACACTCCCATAAAGGAACCAAGCAAATTGGAACAAATCTAAAATCGTCAACTTAATACGATTCGCCCATACTGCAGCCCTTGGACTATCTGGGTACCATACTAACAGTCCAGAACTTAACCAACTTGCTATTGATCGTAATAATGCCACGCTCAAACAAACCGTAGACCATTCTTTCAAAGTATAATCACACTTCTCAGACCATGTCCCCCGATATGTACTTAACATACCCGCCAAACAACCGGATGTGATCAATGTATCCAATGTCTTGCATACAAATCGGTTCCGTCGAAACCGACTCTGAAACCCCGGATCTCCCGGCACCTCCCACGATACACGTAATTCTGCATTCATCAACTTCACGCAGGATGGAACTAATAGTTAGGTACAACTTCAGTAGTTACTAATAATCTTAGTCTGCAAATCAGTTCTGGGCTGTTTGGTAGGATCAATGACAATTAACCGTAATGATAACTAGCTAGTTTTTCTAACTGTCTGGGCGGGTCAATTTGACGCCCGTCTAAGAGGTGATAGAGCTTAGATGGCTTTAAGTTGTGTTTGGGGGTGTGTTCGAAAGTGTGTGCATACCGCAAGAAAATGAAATTGGCGGTTGGTTTCTTCTTGCTTTCTCTGGCGCCGGTTTTCGGTGGGGAGTTGTCTGATGTGCTGAACAAGCTCAAGCAGGCCCGACAAGACGAGCAAATCGGTGAGCAAAGTTTCGTGATATTATATCGATTGTCTTAAAACAGAGCATCCTTATCGAACGGTGGTGAAGGATGTGGTGGATGGGCTCAAGTTGAAATTAGAGTCGGGTGCATCCAACAAGGGGCTGAGAGGGGTTCAGCAGTTGTTGCATCAGGAGGACCACGCTGCCCGCAAGGCTGAGAAACGTTCGAAGAAATTAGGGGCTACAATGGACGCAATAGAGGATGACTTATGGGTGGAAGAGGCGATAGAGGAGGGTGGTGATGCTGCCCAATCTGACGTCGATTCTGATGTTAGCTCTGAATCTAAGTCTGGGGGTTTCAATGCCAGCAAATCTGCGGGTGCTTGGGATGAAGATTGGGTCGATTGGGAAGGAGAGTGGGTGAATGAATTAAAATTTTTATGAAGAGGACCACACCGTTATGGATGTAGCAATTGCGCGATTGAAGGAGATAGACTCCTTGGGGCCATTTAGCCCTGATGACACGGTCGTGTTAGTGTCGTTAGAATTGCCTGTGCGTGTCAGTCGTGATGCGACAACAGGTAAATTTCATGTGGCATATACCAACAGTCTTTTGATACCGGGTTTACACAAGATACGACGATCGATAGGCTGTCAGGTCAAGTTTATAGGATCGTGCGGCTATTACCCAAGTGGTATCAATTACTCAAGTGGTAACAATTACTCAAGTGGTATGGAGGTTGACGGTGAAATACGGGCAGCGAAATATACTGAGAGAGAGAAGGAAAGAGTGGCTGAGGTTTTAGAGCCATTCGATTGTTACCCAGTATTCCCAGAAGAGTCGGATTTGAATGCTGTGTTAGATTTTTGTCAGAACACACTGTCGCCATTATTTCATTCGGTTATCCACTTGGAGACGAGTCTGCAGAAGCCATTCAATCAGGAGTTGTGGGCATTGTATCAGAAGATTAACCGTTTGTGGTCGGATACAGTGTGTCGGGTGATCGAGCAGGATACGGATTTTGTATGGGTACATGATTTCCATTTTCTTTTGGTGCCACAATTTGTATCCCGTAAACACAAGAAAGTTAATATCGGATTGTTCCTGCATTGTCCTTTCCCATCGGATGATCTATTCCGATGCCTACCGGTCCGAAATGAGATCCTCCGATCTATCCTTTGTGCCGACTTAGTCGGTTTCCACTTCTTCGAATACGCTCGACACTTCCTTACTGCCTGCAAAAAATTAATGGGACTCGAACATCGATTCAACCTCGGAGGCTTCATCTGTATCGAATACAATGGCAGACAAGTACACGTTAAAATCGGACACGTCAACGTCCAATATAAGGGTATGCAACAACAACTTAAAGACGATCTTGAGATACAGAAGATCACTACCAAGTTCAAGGACGCACATAAAAACAAATTCATCTTCCTCTCTATCGATCGATGCGATCATCTTGCCGGCATCAAAATGAAGCTTCAATCATACAGACACTACCTTGAACATTTCCCTTATGCCAAGGGTAATGTGACACTTGTACAGTATGCGTACCCTCCCAGGCATACCAACGAAGCAACAATTATATTTCAAAAAGAACTCCTGGAAATAACTGACGATATCAATCGAGAATTCGGTCAAGGATCCCTCGTCCTACATGTAAACCCCACACCCGTGTGCTATTTCCACACACTCGTGTGCCATTTACACACACTCGTGTGCCATTTACACACACTCGTGTGCCATTTACACACTCGTGTTCTTTCTTCAGATACGGCCTATAAAACAAAAGGAAAAATGGGCAGCACTAGAATGTGCACACTGTCTATTGGACGCCAGTATCCGCGATGGTTTGAACCTCATTGCATTCGAGTACATAGCGTGCCGTGGTGCTGCTCCAGGGCACATAATTTTATCGGAGTTCACAGGATGTAGTTCAACGTTGACTTGTTGTCAGCGGATCCATCCATGGCAGCCAGATGATGTGGCAAGTAAGATGGATTTATGCTATTCGACACCGGCTGCCAATTATGCGGAACAATGGGCCCGTGATGTCGCCTATTTGAGTGCTAACTCATTGGAGGCTTGGGCGTCAGATTTCTTGTCAGATTTAAGACGTGCCCGTAAATCAGATGGACGGGTGTATATGCGCTGCGGCTTCGCCTCGACCTACCGCATTCTATCACTCGATGAAAACTTCCGCGCGCTCCCTCTACAACGTGTAGTTAAAGCCTATCGAGCTGCCTCCCAGAAACGTCTACTCTTCTTTGATCATGAAGGCACACTTGCTCCGGACAGACGACATATCGCTGCCACACCTTATGGTGCTGAACTCACGGCCAATGGAGCACGACCTTCCCCTTCTGTCCTGCAGGCGCTCCGCGCACTTTGCGCAGACACCCGCAATGTTGTCTTCGTGTTCTCTGGTCGACCGAAGGCCGCACTCGAAGATTGGTTCGGACACATACCCGGCATCGGCCTCTGTGCCGAACATGGCTTCTACATACGCAGCCCCCAACACACCCAGAACCTCTGGCAGTCCATGAGAGAAGAAGACCTAACCTGGAAGGAACTCGCTCTTACACTCATGCAGCACTACGTCAAACGTACACAAGGCAGCTTAATTGAAAACAAAGGCAGCGCACTCGTCTTCCAGTACCGCAACTGCGACCCCGACTTCGGCGCCTGGCAGGCCAAGGAACTCGCCACCTACCTAGAGTAACCTGGGACACACCCACACAGTTTGACACACCCACACAGTTTGACACACCCACACAGTTTGACACACCCACACAGTTTGACACACCCACACAGTTTGACACACATCAGTACTGTTTGTGTAGGGAGTTTCTATTTGGGATGCCGGTGGTTGTGATGTCCGGGAAGGGGTACGTGGAAGCCCGCGTGGCAGGTGTATCAAAGGGTGTGGCGTGTCAGTGGGTGATGGAGCAGACTGGCGGCGTGCAGTTCGCGTTGGCGATCGGTGATGACAGGTCGGACGAAGAGATGTACGTGGCTTTGTCAAAGTTTTACGCGGCGGGCGAAAACGAGCGGAAAGGCAATTTGGGGTCACGAGAAACGCCGCGGGAGACCGGGCTTGGACTCGGGATCTCGGGTTCTAGGTTGAATGCAAAGGAAAGTGCGGAGGAGGCGGAGGAAGCACCAGTGTTGACGCCATCGCCGGCGGCGGCACATGACTTGTTCCGGTTAACGCAGACGACGTCCACCCGACATGTAGTACAGGAAGGCGTTTTCTGCGTTACCGTCGGCAAGAAGCCCTCACATGCGCAGTGGTACGTCAACGACACGGACGAGGTCAGCGAACTACTCGACGCACTCATAAGCGACCATCGCAAAGACATCAACGTTCAACTCTTCCTGCCTGAACCCGGAACTAATTTACTGAGTTCCGGCTTTTAACTAGCGGTCAACTGGACTGGGCTTAGCTGGGCTGGGCTTGGTTTTTAGTTCAATGATCACGTCCATTAACGTCTACCTTGACGTCCGTGACCTCGATGTCGGAGGCCTGCAATCGTGATGTACAATTGTGATGACTTGCTCCGTCAGCAAGCGGTGAGACTCAAGACACGACTGCTTTCACGGTCAGCTTCTTATTTTTCTGTCAGAAATGGTGTGGCATTTCTGACACAACCCGCACAGCATGGCATGGCGTGGCGAACAAAACCGTCATGAGCACCATCAAGTAATCCAATCAAGTGTGTCCCCCAAAAATGGTTTACTCATAAATTCGTTCCCCATTGTTTGTCCCACGGACTCTCTACTATAAACTGTGTTGTTGTTGTTGGACGTAATTGCTAACGGACTCGTCTGTGGAATAGTTGGCGTCAATAACGCAGGCGAATTCGTTGGCACCAATAACGCATTCTAGTTATTTCCCATTGCTCGATGTAGTGGTGGTGGTGGTAGTGGTGGTGGTATCGGTGGTGGTGGTAGTGGTGGTGGTGGTGGTGGTGGTGGGCGTAGCGGTTGTAGTGGCGGGGGCCGGTCCAGCGACACAGGCGTCGTCGTCTGTCCAGAGTGGTGTGCAGTCTTCGACACATGCATGTTTGCCGTTGCTGGTGTAGCACCAGTGGCAGCCTATGACGTTTCGGCATTCGGGGCAGGAGTTGAAGGATGCGCAGTAGACGCCAGCGACGACCCAGGTTTCTTCATGAACGTCCATGTAGAGTTTGGCGTCGAGTACTTCGCTGGTGTACCATTCGGGTCGATCAGCTCTGGGTGTCTGAAGAAGAGGCATTCGTAGGACTAGCCCCCGGGGGAATGGGGGACGCTGTTCAAGTTCATGAACGACAAACTGCGTTAGATTTAAGAAATGGTCCGCCCAGTCATTACTGTCCCAACGATCGAAGGTCCAGTCAGGATGTTCTAGATTAATTGAATGGATATGAGCATTGCTATTCTCCCATCCAGGCACGTAGATGTTTGGCCCTTGATTATTCTTCAACTGTTGAGTAGCAACATTAGCACGATATAAGTAAACAGGATAGTTACTGGAAACCGTCTTTGCAATCTGCCCCAAATACGGACTCGGCCATTCATCCAACTCCATGAACAACTTGGCAGACTTAACACGATCAGGAAATCTCGCATCAACCACCTCACCGAAATTTATACCCCACATCTTCCCCCAATTATCATGATACAAGTCTTCAAACTCACCATGATAAATACCCTTACCACTCCCAGTCCCATAACGCCGATCACGCGTCACTAACACAGGTGCACCCGGAGGCAACTTCGGCAAACAACGCTCGTCATAAACCGCTATGGTATTATTCACACCTAAAGACAATGTCAATTTCACTCCGGGGGG